GCCTTCAGTTCAGATTATTTTATTCCAGGAAAAAATAAACAAACAGGGCTGAATTATCTTAAATTGAACTCAACCTGAAATATATGTATATGTGTGCATATGTGTTAGCCAACCACAAAAGTCATACATATGCATGGATGAACTGATGAACTGATCGATAGTAATTGATGCTCTTCTGGTTGATCAAGGTAGGACACTATTGGGTTTATCACCCCAGATGTAGTTAGGGTCCCAATAAGGACATGTTGTAAGTAATACAAGGTTTTCAGTAAATTGAATGTATTGACAGTGATCAGGATGTTTAGATGTGCAGCACTTTCATTACTCAAGACAACTAATGACTTAAATGACTGCATTTTCCAATAATGTACTTCATAACAACCTAAAGGAATACACCAGGTGATGATTCTGAAACAATGCCAGTTCTTCCAGATAAGTCCACCATACTAAGAGCATCAATTACAACAGTGAGAGAACACTACACTCTTATAGACTGAAATATATATAACTAGACACTCTTATAGACTGAAATCACTCTCTATGTATTCCCCTACTTTTCTCTATTGCTACAAGCCATACATGGATTATAGACTGAAATATATATAACTAGACACAATATTAGCTACAATGAAAGATTAGCTACAATGAAAGACTGTCAGTTCATGAGAGACTGCATACAGCATTAGCTAATGAAAGATTAGCTACAGGCACTGAACCTACCATGACTTATATCAACTGTAAGTTCATGAGAGACTGCATACAGCATACCAAACTCTATTTCGGTTAAAAGCATCCAGAACAGTGAAGCTAAACTGGGCATGGCAGCTGTTTGTTCAGTTATCCTTTTTAAAACTAAAACTATTAATGACTGCAATGTGCTCTCACAGAAGTATAGAGTCCGGCAGTGCTAAAACAATGACATTATCAGACTAGGCCAGTTCATTCAGATTTCATTCAGATTAGGTCAGTGTGCATTATCAGACTAAGCCAGTGTGGATTATCAGACTAAGCCAGCTAGCTAGGAGCAGTTGACATCATATATCAAATCAGACACTACACATATATCTCGCCTGATGATGACCTAGCTAGGTAGGAGCAGTTGACATCAGATACAGTTGACATCAGATACAGTTGACATCATAAAATTTGGCAGCAAGGGAAGACATCAATCTAGGAGGTATAGTTTCCTTTTTCACAAACAGGATTACCAACGCTATAAGATGGAGTATAGTTTCCTTTTTCACACACAGATGGCACAGATACACACAGATGCACCCCTAACAATCTTGCAGGCAGGGCAAGCAATTCTATCAAGCATTCTATCAAGTTTGAACAGCAAAAATTGAACAGCAAAATCTAAGGGCTCAAGCATTCTATCAAGTTTGCTGGCCTCGCTGCACACCCTAAAAAATTGTACCAATAATCCAACTCTGATTGTTGGCGACAATCACTAACAGATCACTAACATATTGTTGGCATTCTATCAAGCATTGTGCACAATCACTAACAGATAACAACTAACTCTGATTGTTGGCGACACTAGTACTGTGAAATTGTGAACCACGGAAGAGCATATATCAAATCAGAAACTACACATATATCTCGCCTGATGATGACCTAGCTAGCTAGGAGCAGACACTACACATATATCAACATTGCAAGAATGTAATGGTACAGCTAAGAAAAATACCCTTGGAGCGTTGGGTAGGATCTCAACGTCATCACCGTCGTTGGAGGCGTTGGACACGAAGTTGTCCTCCGCGACGGCTGGCACCCGAGGACGTCTACCGCGGGCCATGGAGCCTTCTGCCACGCCGGAGGTAGACTTCTGCCGCGGGCCGTGGAGGCTTCTTTGTGACGCGCCGTGACCAACAGCCGGCACACCACTACCACGGCCACCACCGGAGAACGTCGAGGTAGCGCACCCAGACCTAGCTCCAACTCTAGTGCTGCGAGGAGCACGGAAGCCAACACCTCCAGCTCCAACACTTTAGCTTGCGCTGTGGGCTCCAACGGGAGGGGAGGCATTGGGGCCGTCGACATCTCCACCTTGAAGACCGAAGCGAAGGAGGCCTTGGTACCCTCCCATGGGCGGCCATTGGTTGCCCTACGAGTTGAGGTCAAGGGCCGCCATGCTCGTACGGGGAGAAGCGAAGTGGCTGGATCCAGGGCCGGTGAAGAATGCCTGACTGTAGCCTTGATAGCTGCCGGCGGTGGGGAGCGGCTGCAACAAGAAGTCCCTGGTGGCGTCGATGCTACCGTAGCTGTGGCCATCACCGTGGTCGTCGTCGTCGCCGTGGAAGAAGATGTCGCCGTTGTACCCGTCCATGCGGCAAGCTCGGAACCGGAACCGAGGAGAAGAGGGTAGATCAGGGGAGGAGAGGTGGCGGTGGGAGAGCGGCGGCGGCTCCTGTGCTGCGGGTAGAAAGAGGTGGCGGTGGTGGCTCCTGTGCTGCTGCGGTGGCGGTAGGGTAGGGTTCGGGCTCCGGACGAGTGGGGGCGAGCAGCGGCGGCCGAGTGTGGGGGTAGGGTTCGGGCTCCGGCAGTGGCCGAGTGTGGGCGAGCGGCGGCGGCAGCTCCGGTGCGCTCGGGGAGAAAGAGTGGCGGCGGTGGCTCCCGTGCCCAGCGGCGGCTCCCGTGCCGAGTCGGGGAGAAAGGTTCGGGCGGGGGGCAGTGGGCGAGATGGGCCAATTTGGGCTTATTTTGACCTCTAGACTCCAGAATCCAGAATTCAGAATGGGTATCCTTTGCAAAAAAAATCCAAGGTGGTGTTTAGATCCATTTCCCAGAATACTGGGCCAAAATCCAGAATATTTTGGGTCTGAGGAGGAACTAAACAGGGCCTTACATTGGAGAATAGGATATCTCTTATCCAGATGATGTGAACTTGTGCCATTGACCCGAGCAAAAATTGCAAGTCTACGCTATTGAAACATGCTGCCGTCATTCTTAGCTGCTTTGATGCTTATTCAGCCTGTTCACTTGTTGGTTTCAGTCAGGAGTTATCAGTCAGCCAACAGTGTTTTCCTCTCACAACAAACCAGCGTCAGCCGGGCTTATCAACCCAGAAACCAACCAACGAACATGCCGATTGATTGATATGATATTATTGCACCTTTTTCTTCATTTCCATCACTCTCATCTATACTTATTTCAGAGAATGAAGGCTCAAGATCCATAAATAATTTCACACACATCATCTTTTGCCCAACAACCCAAGTATACAAAGAATCTGGTGTCTAGCAATAACATATTGACATGTAAAAGCGCACTACTATGAGTGGTGTCGCGGTAGAGGCGTGGTGAATGACTCCACCACCCGGATTTTAATTTTAAACCTCTGTGTATATATTTTGATGTTCCTCAAGTTCAATGGTTGCATGTCCATCTTTCTTTTTTCTCGATCACGCCTTAACGACACCCTAGGGAGTCAGAAGAGATGAACATGGACGCTCGGACCATCACTAGTGTACTCAAAGCTATGTTGTTACATTAGGCACGGATTAGCCCGAATTGCGGCGCCGGCTAGGGGGCTATGCTCGGGCTGCCGAGCACCGGCGGCGCTGCTTGCGCGGACCCACGTTGCCGTCCGGTGTGAATAACTCGCATAGCGCCTGCATATTCCCGGGTGGCCGCTGTAGATTTCATCGTACGCCTTCAGGGCCGACGTTAGCGGAGACGACATCCCGTTGGTTAGCCCAGGCACTTCAAGACAAGGTGCTCACCTCGTGGACGCCGGGATATGTGATATGCTCTGCACCGCTATCCGCCTACTCCTCTTGGGAAGCGCGGGCGGTCGCCATGGGCCGAAACATCAGGCAGCTCCAGGAGTGGCAGCTGCCTCGGCTTTGTAATTCGGTTAGTGAAACGTTTGAGGCGTCAGTTGGCAGAGGTCGTGTGAGGGGTTGCATGTCCATCTTTCTATTAGTTTAAGTTTTTTCTTTTGTTGAACTAGCTGGTGCATGTCATACGGTATGGTATTAGGAATATTTAGGATGAAAGGTCTTGAGTTCAAATGTTAGCGGCAATACTAATTCCCACGTTTTGAGGCTTGAGGAAACTTGCATAAAAGTGGCCTCGTAGTAGGTGCGTGGGTTTTGGGGAGCTAACCGCTTTGGAGTGGGCTTTGGGGGTGGGCGGGTGGCGTAAAAGAGCTCATTCTTATTAGTTTAATATTTTTGGGTTAAGCTGATTATTGTTGGCCACCAATACCTTTATTTATTAAAACAAATTTACATGGAAGCAACGGACACTATTTTTAGTATTGTTCATGCGTGTTTGAGTTCAATTAAATGAACTAACCCTCCTCGTTTGTTCAGTTAAGCTCTGCCGCTACTGCGCTACTGCTAACTAGTATATTGTATGTGCTAATGCTACAGTGATGTTTAAAAAATAACAAAACTAAAATGAACCAAACCTGCCACCACTAACAAAAAAAAAAGTTCTTTGTTTTCTTTGAGAAGGTAAAAGAACCAACAACTCTCATATGGTCTTTGCCAATGCCAATATAGCTTCTTCTTTTGGCATCCCATAAGCTCACTTGTGTACAAAATGTCACTCAAAAACCGAGAAACAAATGCTATGGCCGTGCTAACTCTACGGCAACATTCGAGCAAATGTGAAATAGAACTTAAATAACATTATCGAAAAACTCTTGACAATACTGCAAAATGTTATCGTTGGCTTGAAATTTTGGAGACCAATAAATCTTAAGTGTGCTAACAGATTGGGCTGAATGAACTCTATTCTTTCCATCTTGATGATACAATTCTTATTTTGGGCCTGTTCGCTTGTCTGAATTCTGGATGAATTTGGATGGTTTGGAGGAATGCTGGAGGAATTTGTGAGAGAAAAACACTGTTCCGGATGAAAAAAATAAGCGGATCAAGCCGGGTTTAAGGGCATGCTAACGGGGCCTTTCACACAAGCAATTTGATGCTAGACACGTTGTTGGTTCATTAAATTGTGGTAAGGAGTTAATCAATCCAACCGGGGAACAATTAGAAGTATCTACAGGTGTTCTCCGGGTCCTTGAACCTTAGTGTCAGCTTCTTCGTGAATCCGTTTTTGTCCTCCCCGTTGTACAGCACGGCAGCCGCCTTCTTCTTGGCCTCCTTGAGATCAGGTGTGATGGCATCCCGTGCATCCTTGAGCGGCCTGATGTCGATGAGCTGCGCGTTAAGCTCCTCGAGCAGCAGCTGATAGCCCGCCCTGGCGGACACAATGACGTAGGGCTTGGAGCCGCCGCTGCCGCTGCCGCTGCCGAGATGCAACAAAACAATCTTGACAATATAAAAAACATAATCTGAATCAGTTTCGGTGACCCAATAATTAATTGATATCATTATCAAAAAAATAATTAAATGATAAACCATAAAACATCAATGTACCAACAAGTAAAGAGTCACATCCACAATACAACATACTAACTAAATTAACAGCAAACATTTTAAATAGAATAATGGAGAAAATCGAACATTGTGTGGGAATACCTAGATTGAGATATTAACAAAGAAAATTTTGAAACAAATGATTTCCTTTGGTATATGGTCACAGTAACAAGCACTTAGAACCGAGGGAGCATATCTGGTGCACGTTGTTTCAAGTTTCTTTTCAACTATATTTATGAATTTATACCTATTTTATTTTATTAAACAAATTCCTAGCATTTATAATAAACAGGTTACCTTTAAAATAAATTTAGTAAATACAAAATACCATTCCAAAGCATAGAAGCTAATTCATTGACTCACAAGAATGGAAACGGTCTTCTTAACATTATTACTCTAGTGTACAAAATTGATATTTCTAGCCATCAGAATACAATATTCAATGACGCGGAATGACGGAATAAAAAGGAAATCCAAGTGTTTTTTCTACACAAATGTAAGCAATCAACACACCAGAATTAAATGACCAAATGTAATATTTGGAATTCCGTTTGAGGTCCCTTTACATATAGCATTTATTCTTATTTTTCTCCATTCTCCACCTACAAAAAGATGTACAGAATAGCCAGGCATAAAATTTTCAGTCAAGAATTGCAAATGCTGCTAACATCGCTCTCCAAGAAACGGAATGATACATACAATACAACCGGAGGCTTGCGAATTAATGTGGGATAATTTTTGTTGCTGGCATTGCAAGTAGCCAAGTACAGTAATGGATGGAGGTGCGAGAATTGGTGTACCTTGGAAGTTGGAACCCCTTGCCGATGAGGTTGCCAGAGACATCTGAAAGCATCTAAGCCCCTAATTGGGTTTTGGTGATTAATGACAATACATGACTACTATGACTAACGTGTGTTTTGCAGAGACAATTAAGTTAGGTCATGGTAATGGAGATCGATTGGGCAATCATGGTGGTCATGTCCCTACGATAGAAATCGTTTTGGTTTTCAAAGGATGGACGATAAGGTTAAGGATACACTAGTTCTAAGTGTCGTTTAGTGTTGAATAGACACTTAGAGTACTTTAGGACTTTGTTTTTCCTTTGACCATACTATTAAGAGGGTATGGACGGGTAGCTTAACTTAGATGAGTCTAGTGGGTTAGGTGTGGTGCACACTTGCTAAATCTAGCACTAGGTAGCTCCTAAATAGCTCTTAGATCATTTGAAGCAAACTTCATTCACGTATGATTGAGAGTTGGAAGTGAATGGAGGGTCAAATGCTTTGAGCAGACGCCTGCTGCTCGGTGTGGACCGGATTTGGCGCGAGTCCCGTCGATTCATTTGATCAAGGTGATTTCGTCTGGTGCGACCGGACGATGAGAGGTGAGCGACCGGACGCTGGGTGCCAGCGTCCGGTCGACTCCAGTAAGGTTCTAGAGAGAGAAAATCACGACCGGACGCTGTCCAGCGTCCAGTCACAACTTAAACACTGGAGTTCGGGGAGAACTGACCGGAGCGTCCGGTCAACTTGACCGGAGCGTCCGGTCACCCCGCAGAGACACATAACGGTTCGATTTTCAACCGAGTGTATAAATACCAGTGTTCGCCTAAACGGCCTGGCCGTTTAAACGGCGAGTAAACGGTAAACGGTGGTAAACTGTTTTGTTTAGAGGTTAAACGGAAATTAAACGGTTGACCATTTAAACGGTCAAAAACGGAGAAAATGGTCTAAACGGCCTAAACGAAACGGACATAAACAATATTAAACGGGCGAAACAGCTGTTTAAACGGCTGTTTAGGCGAACATGAGGTAAATCTAATTCAGTTTTGTATGGATAAATTTGTATACTTAAGTTTATTATATTTATAAATGTGTACACTTGATATGTTACATGCATAAATATCTATATTTGGTTCTTTTCACATGCATAAATATATATACATGCCAAAATAATTGATTTTTACTCGGATAAATATGTATAAATGCTAGAATACTTGATTTTTTACATGCACAAATATAATTATATGTATTTTTTTTAAAGTACAAAACCGTTTAGACCGTTTAATTTCGTTTAAACACCATGTAAACAGTCTAAACACTAAACGTAGGGCGACCGTATAAAGACCGTTTACCGTTTAGGAAAACATTGATAAATATTTTCTCCATTCGTGTGAGGGGGTACTTTTGCTCATTCCAACAGCTGAGAAACATCCTTGAGAGTGCCAAGAAGAACAAGGTCCTAGTGAGGTGATTGAGATTTGAGAATCCCAAAGAGAGCCCTCATTAGTGAAAGCAAGAGTAGCAAAGTGTGCATCCACCCTTCTCATTAGGCTTGTCGTGGTCAAGTGAGAGTCCGTGCTTGTTAGTCTTCGTGATCGCCATCACCTAGACGGCTTGGGTTTGATTGAGAGCTTGGTGATCATCCGACGGAGCTTGTGGATGACCCAATTCAAGTTATGAGCGGTTGTGGGTGATTCACCGCAACAGAGTGTCGAAGAATCAACCCATAGAGAGCACTTGATCCTTGCGCGGATCAAGGGGGGCTACACCCTTGCGCGGGTGCTTCAACGAGGATTAGTGGGGAGTGGCGACTCTCCGATACCTCGGGAAAACATCGCCGCGTTCCTCTTTCTCTCTTTACTTTGAGCAATTCAATTCTTGTCATTTACATTCATAGAATTGTCATGTTAGAGTAGGATTGGAACATATGTTGCTAAACTTTTATACGGTAGATTAATAGAAACACTTTCTAGGCACAAGGGGTTAATTGGGCTAACCGTAGGGTTTAATTATTGCAAAGAAATTTAGAATTAGCCCAATTCACCCCCCCCTCTTAGGCATCTTGATCATTTCAATTGGTATCGGAGCCTCGTGCTCATGTATTTAGGCTTAACCGCCTAGAGAAAGATGTCTCACGGGGATGAACCTCCTCCTATCTTTGAGGGGGATGATTTTTCTTATTGGAAAATCCGCATGGATGTGTATTTAGAAGCTCTAGATGTTGGAATACTTAGAGCCGCCTCACAAGGCTTCCCAAAACCTCAGGATGCTACACACCTACAAGGCGATGAGGTGAATTACAAAAAATGGAATGCAAAGGCTCGAAACACCATCTTTAGAGGTCTTTGCAAAGATGTGTTTAATCGCATACGAAACCACAAGGACGCCCATGCACTATGGTCGGACATTTGTGCGCTCCATGAGAGAACAAAGAGTGAGCGTGAGGAAAGCTATCATCTCATCATGAAAAAGCTTAACTCTTTTGAAATGCTTCCTAAAGAATATGCTAATGAGATATATTCACGTTTGAATGTTCTTGTAGAGAAAGTCAATGGGCTTGGACTCACTCAAATACAACCATCTGATGTTGTAAGAAAGATCTTGAGTGTCCTCCCTATTGATAAATATGGGCATATTGTGACCGTACTACATCAAGGTGATCTTTCCACCGCTACACCGACACAAATCTTGGGAAAAATCAATGCTCATGAGATGTACATGCACATCATACCTCAAGATGGCTCATCCTCTACAAAGAAGAAAGAAAAAAGATTTAGCATTCAAAGCTAGCCAAGAAAAGGGTAAAGCAAGACTTGAGTATGAGAGCTCAAGTGATGATGAATTTGATGATTAAGTCTTGCTCTCATGGTGAAGAAAACCGTCAAGATGCTAAAGAAGCTCAACAAGAGTGGCATCGAGTTTGATGGCAAGAAGAAGTTCTTCACTAGCTCTAGAAGGAAGCCAATCTCCGAGATAGATTGCTACAAATGTGGAGAACTTGGTCATCTAGCTCACCAATGCACAAAGCCCAAGAAAGACAAGCTAAAGAACAAGAACAAGGGCAAGAAAGATGACTCAAGCAATAAAGATGAAGATGAGAAGAAAAAGAACAAGCCATACAAGAAGAGAGATGGTAAGAAGAAGGACTTCCATAAGAAGAAGAAGAGTGGAAAGGCTTACATCATCGGTGATTGGCTCATGGACATTGATTCATCTAGTGGATCATCCGATGATGATAGTGACAACGAGAAGGTGGCCGCCATTGTTATTGACTCATCATCTTCACCGCCACCACCGCCATCATCCTCTACACACCTATGCCTTATGGCCAAGGGTGAACGCAAGGTATCAAATGATAATGATAGTAGTGGTGATGAACATGCTAGTAATGATAATAGCGATAGTGATGATGATGAATATGAGTCACCTACTTATGATGATCTTGCTAGATTGTTAAAACAATACACTAAGATCATTATAAAGACTAGAGCTAAGAATGAAAAGCTAGAGGCTAAAAATGATGCACTTTTAGCAAAATGTGATATAGCGGAAAAGGCTAGTGTTGAGCTTAGAGAAGCAAATGATGCTATGTCATCCAAACTTAAAGAGCTCAAATCTTTTAAGAAAGAGCTTAAAGATAAACATGATAAACTTGAGTGGGTGCACAAAGAGCTCATCACTAGCCACAACAAGCTAAAAGAAGAATATACCACTCTTAAGATTAATCATGATAATCTTGTCATTGCTCAAGAATTTCTATCCAATGAGTCACATAATGCTACTAACAATGTTGTTAAGATTGATATAGCCACATCATGTGATAATTTGATCATTGAAAGCATTGAGCAAAGTTCTAGTAGAAAGGGTAAGCAAGTGGCTGAGGCCGATGATTATGATGAGTTTGTCAAGCTCAAGAATGACAATGCAAAGCTCAAGAAAGATCTTGAAGAAATCAAAAGCCACAACACTATTGTGCTAGAAACTCTTGACCATGATGGTGATTTGATCCTTGAGAATGAGAAGCTCAAAGAAGAAAATAAGAAACTTAAGTTAGAGAAAGAACATCTCAAGATTGGATTGAGCAAGTTCACAAGAGGCAAGCATCTTCAAAGTGAGCTACTTATGAACACCGTCATGAAGATGGATAGAAGTGGCATTGGGTACATGGCAAAC